CTGATCCTCATCATTGAGGTCCTCACAGTCCAGGGGCAAGTTGCAAAATGACTTTGTTAGTATCAGAGGTTGTATGTCAAATAAGTGGGGACTGAAGGGGGACAGTCAGGGATGGGTTGTATGGAAGATAATCTCCAAAGCAGAGGCTTGAGAAAATCACTGATACCAATCAGGTAGGTTTAGGGGATGGAGAATTTTGTAGATGAGCATCTAGAACTGAAGCAATAAAATCAGCCTGATATGTTTTGGGGAATTGCAAGTGGTTATGTTTGGCTGTGGTATAGTGGCTGATCAGGGTGGTGAGCAGAACTAAAGCAAGAGATAAAAGCTGGAGTGGTAAGTAGGTCAGATTATGGGAACTTTGTAATGGTAAGCTATTTGGACTTTATCCTGTGCATGGAAGAAGCAATTGAGAAAGCTTTACTGAATTGGTTTTTGGGTGTTCCCTCCAGCAACAATGTAGAAGACAGGTGGACAGGTGTGAAGCTCAAGGTAGGGGATCATTAGAGATGATGATGACACGTCCCAACAAGATGCAGCCAGAAGTCAGGCAGTGCTGGACTAGGGTGGAGGGGTCTAGGAATGGAGAGGTAGGCTGGGCAGGACCTGGTCACCAGTTAGGTTGGGGCAATGAAAGGTTGAGGGATTCAGGAAGACTCTGGCTGGCGGGGTTTCTGTTGCTGGTCCCCAAGATGGGGAACTTGGGGGAAGGAGTAGTTGCAACAATGGGAGCAATGGGAGAAGTTGGGCTGTGGACCATTGTGGTGTACTTTGTGAGATGAGGTGGGGGTCTCTGGAGCTTACATACACAGTGTTTGGAAGTGTAGAATCGGATCTCATCCTGCTATCTCCATCCTCCCTCCCCTCACAGGGCTCACCCCTCCAGCTACCCCTCCCCACCAGTTATGGAAGCCCTTGGCTGCTGTTTCCCTGCTGGCCAAAGTCAAATCTCCTAAGTCCATCGTTCAGGAGGGAACCCTGAAGCCTGAAGGAGTTACAGAGGCCAAACATCCAGCTGCAGCCCGCCTCCAAGAAGGGGTCCATGGCCCTAATCCGGTCCATGTGGGCTCTGGGGACCATGACTATTGTGTCCGGAGTAGGAGCCCCCCAAAAAAGACTCCTGCTCTAGTCTTTCCAGAGGCAGGCTCCCGATGGAACGTCAAACGCCATCAGGATATCACCATCAAACCTGTCTTGTCCCTGGGCCCAGTCGCCCCTCTTCCTCCAGGCACAGCTGCCTCCCAAGAGCCACTTGATCACAGGACTAGCAAAGAGCAGGCAGATCTCCCAGCCCCTTGCCTTGCCCCATCTGCCTTGCTGTCCCCTGAGGCCTCGCCCTGCCGGAATGACATGAACACTAGGACTCCCCTTGAGCCCTCAGCCAAGCGGTCAGTGCGCTGTTATCGAAAAGCCTGCAGGTCAGCCAGCCCCCCAAGCCGGGGCTGGCAGGGCCGCCGTGGCCGCAGCAGTTCTGTCAGCTCTGGGTCCAACCGGACCAGTGAAGCATCTTCTTCCTCATCCTCATCGTCGTCTTCATCCCGGTCCCGGTCCAGGTCCCTCTCCCCCCCACACAAGAGATGGCGAAGGTGAGCTCTAATGGTCTATTAGGTCCTCTCCATTTAGGAAGTTTTTATGCACATTGAGTTTGATACTTTCAGGCACTAAGGCTCCTGTTTCTGTCTTCGGCTTTTGTCTTCTCTGCCTTCCCTGGATTGTTGAAGGAGGCAAGCTGTGAGAAAATAGCTTCTGTCCTCTGTTGGAGTTTGGGGTATCCCTGAGGTCTCTGCTTCCTTGAGACCTGCCTTGGGGAAACGTTAGAATTTGATCTTAACCATGTTGAATCCTTTGAATACTCTATCAGTCCTCATTTCTGGTATTTTCCTGGTGGTATGTGGGAAGGTGGGATTGTGGGTTGTTAATGGCAGACAGTCCTTTTAATCTGTTGAGGAAAGAGTCTGGGCAGTTCTTTTGGGTGTCCCTGTGGCCTCATCTGTTTCCTGGCAGTACTTTTTTTTCAGTAAGAGACCCAGATTTTCTATTTAGATAAGGTAGCCTTTATCTCTTTTAGTCTTCACTTATTTTTCTTCTTTCTGATTTGTTAAATATTTTTTAATCTTAAATTGCATAATTGAAAAGAAATATGACCTATGCCAAAATACTCTAAAACATTCCAGATACATCTAAAGTTCATCAGGGCTTCAGTTTGGTCATCTTTGAAGAGTTTTTCTAGACCTCTTCAGCTTTCTTTTGCCTTTGGTCCTGTGCTTCCTGAGAAGGAGGCAGGGCTGCTGCCAAGGTGAAGTAAGTAGTATATACCTGCACCATTCCCAGCATTCCTATGCGCCCCTTTATTCTCTAGGTCCAGTTGTAGTTCCTCTGGATGTTCCCGAAGATGCTCTTCCTCTTCCTCATCTTCCTCCTCATCTTCCTCATCCTCATCATCTAGTTCCCGAAGCCGGTCCCGCTCCCCATCCCCCCGCCGGAGAAGTGACAGGAGACGGCGGTGAGCATGTGTTCAGGGAGTCAGTGCATCTGGGGTGTAAGTGCCTGAGAGTTCAGAGACTTAAGCTGTCTAATGTCTGGGTGGCTGATGGCACCTTCTCTTGTCAGGTACAGCTCTTATCGATCACATGACCATTACCAAAGGCAGAGAGTGCTGCAGAAGGAGCGTGCAATAGTGAGTAGAGAAACAGGTCATGGGAGTGGGGGGAGTTTGCCCCTGAGCCACAAGCTCAGAGCCTTCTGTAGTTCTGGCCCTGGCTCATGGTATGTAAATTTCCCTTGTCCCAACATAGGAAGAGAGAAGAGTGGTCTTCATTGGGAAGATACCTGGCCGCATGACTCGGTCAGAGCTGAAACAGAGGTTCTCTGTTTTCGGAGAGATTGAGGAGTGCACCATCCACTTCCGTGTCCAAGGGTAAGCTTGGGCCCTAAGGTCAGGATGTACTTCTATGGTTTTTTTGTCTTTCCCCCTTGCTCTGGTGTGCTGTACAACATTTCATTCAGAGGATTGGCTATTTGGGGAATGAGAAGAATCACCCCAGTCCTCTGTACCCTGGTGGGTGTTTCTTCTCCATGGCATGTGCCCAAATAGCCAGCCTCTGCCTCACCCACCAGTGACAACTATGGCTTCGTCACTTACCGCTATGCTGAGGAGGCATTTGCAGCCATCGAAAGTGGCCACAAGCTGAGACAGGCAGATGAGCAGCCCTTTGATCTCTGCTTTGGGGGGCGCAGGCAGTTCTGCAAGAGAAGCTACTCTGATCTTGGTGAGTGGAGGGAGGCCTTGAGGCTTTGGTGTAAGGGTTCCCAACCTTTTGAGAGTGGGCTCAGCAGACTTATATTCATCTGACACAAGAAGGAACCAAGGGGTGGGATGACTTAAAGTCATTATTGGGATGGGAGGTGGCTGGCCATCTGAGGACTCTGTGGTTGGGAAGTGTGGTCAGAGACCTTGATGTTTGTCTGTCTTTCTCTACCTTTATAGACTCCAACTGGGAAGACTTTGACCCTGCTCCTGTAAAGAGCAAATTTGATTCTCTTGACTTTGACACATTATTGAAACAGGCCCAGAAGAACCTCAGGAGGTAACCCTGGGCCCTTCTCCCCTTCCCCCTTTTTTTGGAGGTGTCCAACCACCTCCAACCCCCTTCCCCACTCTAGGGGAGAGAGCTGCTAGTGAGGAGATGACTGTTTTATAAAGAAATGGAAAAAGTGAAATAAAAAAATGTGTTAAATCAGATTTTTTAAAAGGGTATTTGTTTTTATAACAGGCATTGAAACAAGTTCATTTGCATTCCTATTTGAGATGGATGACATTGAGGGATTCCCCCTGTGTTTGGATGATTAAAGTCACTATGCAGACTAATAATAAATACGAACTAGAGAGAACATCCATGTGTTGTGCTTCTTTCTTTCTATGGTGTTAATACCAAACATACTCACTTTTCCTCTCAACACAGTGTCATGTTTACCTCCATTGAGTTCCTAGGACCCCTCTTTGATCAGGTGTAAAATCCTGTTGGACTTGAAACTTGGCTCCTCAAGTGTTTTGACAGTGAAATCAGTCATCAGGGCAGTGCTTCTCAAACTTTAAAAGGGCTTTTGAGCCCTGGCCAGTGTGGCTCAGTTGGTTGTCCTGTGCACCAAAAGGATGCCGATTCAATGCGAGGGCACATACTGGGGATTGTGACTTGATCTCCAGTAGGGGGCGTGCAGGAGGCAGCCACTGGATGTTCCCTCTCAGTTTCTCAGAGGGTGGGGTGGTGGGGGCAGCATTTCAATCCTGGACAGTGTTGCTAGGTGGTTAGAGCATTGCTCAGATGTTTAAGGAATGCATGCATGTGGATTGACTTCTGGGGAAGAGGGAGATGTAGGAGTTATATCTAGGAGAGAGGAAAAGAAGTGTGTCCCCTGAAAAAGTACATCCTTACCCTTTTTGAGGGGCATTAATGGGAAGTAGTCCAAGTATAGTGTATGGGATTGAAGGGATTCTTGTCTGTTGCTAATGTAAACAAATATGATAGAGTTTGAAATTGACTTTTCAGGCCTGGGCATTAGAATATTTGAGTATTCATGACAAAGGGGGAAACAGTTGGGTAGTTTTCCAGTTCTCTCATAGGGAGAGTTCACAGTATAAACTGTCAGGACTGTGGTTTGAAGAGATTGCTGCTGCATCATTCAGGTTTGGTGCACAACCCATTTTACCTTCATGGAGCTGACTTGACTGAATAAGTAAGTGGGGGGCCCAGCTACCCTGTCGCTATAAAGGAAAGGCAGGCCCTAGCTGGTTTGGCTCAGTGGATAGAGCATCGGCCTCCAAACTGAAGGGTCCTTGGTTCGATTCCAGTCAAGGGCACATGCCTGGGTTACAGGCTTGATCCCCAGTGTGGGACATGGTGGAAGGCAGCCCATCAATGATTCTCATCGTTAATGTTTCTATCTCTCCCTCTCCTTTCTGCTCTGAAATCAATAAAAAATATATTTAAAGAAATAATAATTTTAAAAAATAGAAGGCAGGCTGTGTGCTCTCCAAGCGTGGTCTGCTTGCTGCTTTGCATCCACTTCCATCGATTTTTAATGGTTGCTCATCAGGCCTCAGGTGACAGAATGGTGAAGCAGATCAAGAGCAAGTATGCTTTTGAGGAAGCCTTGAACAGTGCAGGAGATAAACTTGTAGTAGCTGACTTCTCAGCCGCATGGTGTGGGTTTGGCAAAATGATAAAGCTTTTTTTTAATTTCCTCTCTGAAGTATTCCAATGTGGTATTCCTTGAAGTAGATGTGGATGACTATTAGGATGTTGCTGCAGAGTGTGAAGTCAAATGCATACCAACCTTTCAATTCTTGTTAATCCTCACCTGAGGATACTTTTTCCTTTTTTTTTTTTTTTTTTTTTTTTTAGCAAGAGTGGAAGGGAGGGGGAGAGACAGAAACATTGATATAAGAAAGATGCATTGACTGGTTGCCTCCCGCACATGCCTCAAATGTGCCGGGGATTGATCCTGCAACCGAGGTAAGTGCCCTTGACCAGAATCGAACCTGAAACCCTTTAGTCCATGGGTCGATGCTCTAACCACTGAGCAACTGGTCACAGCCAACCTTCCAGTTTCATTTGTTTGTTTGAAATATATTTTTATTGATTTAAGAGAGGAAGGGAGAGGGAGAGAGAGAGACACATCAATGATGACAGAATCATTGATCGGCTGCCTCCTGCACGCTCTTGTCTGGGGATTGAGCCTGCAACCTGGGCATATGCCCCAACCGGGAATTGAACCGTGACCTCCTGGTCCATAGGTCACACTCAACCACTGAGCCATGCTGGCTGGGCTGTTTGTTTTTTAAATATATTTTTATTGATTTCAGAGAGGAAGGGAGAGGGGAAGAGATAGAAACATGAATGATGAAAAAGAATCATTGATGGGCTGCCTCCTGCATGCCCTCTACTGGGGATCGAGCCTGAAACCTGGGCATGTGCCCTAGACCAGAATTGAACCCAAGACCCTTAATTCCACAGGCCACTGAGCCAAACCATCTAGGACTACAAAAGGACAAAAGGGTGATTTTTCTGGAGCTAATAAGGAAAAATGAAGCCACCATCAATGAATTAGTTTATTCATGTTTTCGGAAAACAGTTATCAGTTTTTGAAATTTTTTTTACTTACATAAAAGATCAAGCATAGAGACTATATACTCCACTACCATCTGAATGTAAATGACAACAAAATATTAGTTATACCATTAAAAATAAGTGGTGGAGGATAGGGTTTCATGGGCAGGACATGATGGGGGTGGGGGTGGGGCAGTTTTGTTCCTGGAAAGGGGACCTGGCCTTGAGTCTGCCTGCCTTGGGCCAGCTGGTAGCGTGTGGGTTCTTGACTTTGTACAGGAAAGATTTCACAGCACAAGTACAGGTGATTCACTGCAGTGGTTCTCAGCCTTCTGGCCCTTTAAATACAGTTCCTCATGTTGTGACCCAACCATAAAATTATTTTCGTTGCTACTTCATAACTGTAATGTTGCTACTGTTATGAATCGTAATGTAAATATCTGATATGCAGGATGGTCTTAGGTGACCCCTGTGAAAGGGTCGTTCTACCGCCAAAGGGGTCGCGACCCACAGGTTGAGAACCGCTGTTTTAGAGGATGTTTGTAGAAACTGGGAACAGTGAAATGGAAGGGTGTAGGATAGAACAACAGGAGAGACTAGACAGTGAAATGAGCCTAGACTGGGCTGCTTTGGCTCACTAAGAAGTCAGAAAAAAGGGGGCCTTTGGGACAGGTTCAGGGCCCATTGCTCCCTGGATGCAAGTCTTGTGGGAGTCCCCACCTGCATGCCTGTGGGGAAAGAAGAGGGAGGGGGAAGGCGAGGTGTGCTGCCTGGAGGGAGACTGTACTGTGGTATCTTCATTTTGAAGGTTTTTAAAGGCTGGGAGTTTTAGGGAGGTGTGATGGGATGAGCCCAATAGATTATTAGTTCTGTGCTGATGTTCCAAAATTAGATTTATTCCCATTAACTTCATCTGCCCTTGGGTGTAGTAGGCACAAGTGGCACTAATAGGATCTCTGCTATCTACCTATCTCCTGAGTAGGGTGATTTAGGCTATTTACCCTCTGGCTGGGGAGAGGTGCCACCATTACATTCCTGTCAAGTGTCCTTGGTTTAGTGATGATAGGATTTTGCCATTTGCTAGATGGCTGTAAACTACTTGGTGACGTCACGATCTGCCCGTTTCCCTATTCTTGTTCTGGCTTACTAGCCTCAGTTTGGGGGATCAACACCCCATCTTGACCCACAGATGATCTGCAGGAACCTCTGCAGTGAAGGTGGGAGTCCCACAGGCTGGGGTGGTAGCTGAGAAAGGGTCGCTGTGGGTGTGGGAGGCAGTGAGATGGAAGGTGGGAATCCACTGGCAGAGCGGGTCGGGGCGTTTGGAGATCTTGTGACCAAGTCCAGGTGGTCCGAGGACAGCTCGAGCCCGCCGGTCCACTCACTTCCATGAAAGGCTAATCTCGAACGAGGAGCAGGAAACGCCGCGGGAGGAAAGGTGCCTCGGGAGATAGGACAGGGGAAGTCCGCCGTTTTCCCGCCACTGCCGAGGGCGTGACCCCTGACGTCAGGCTCCGCCTTCGCAAAGTGGCGGGCGGCGGGCTCCGCCCTTATCAAGATGGCGACACGTGGGAACGGAAAGAGCTTACAGATTTTGCGTAGATCCTGCCTCCGAGGTGGAGGCGGGACATCCCTGCGGAGTGCGCCCGCCCCTTCCGCTGTGCGCCCGCGCGGCGCGATGACGTAACGCGCTCCGCCCCGACCTCTCTGGGTCCCTGAGTTCCTGAGTCGTGTGCGTCGGCAACGGTAGTGACGCGTGTTGCCCGGAGGATGGCGGCCGCCGGCTTACCCCGCGTGGTTCCCAGCGACCTGTATCCCCTCGTGCTCGGCTTTCTGCGCGACAACCAACTCTCGGAGGTGGCCAATAAGTTCGCCAAGGCAACAGGCGCTGTGAGTCCCGGACTTGGTTCACGAGCCGGGGTGGGAGGACCACAGGGCTCCGGGCCCAGCCATGGTTAGGTTTCCAGGTAGAGAGGTCCGTGGGGTCCGCCAGCCCAGTGTCTGCGGGGCCTTTGTGCGGGTTTTCGGTGGTGACTGGAGAGAGCCTGGAGTCCGCGAGGTCTTGACTAGGTAGCGCTGAGTCTTGTAGCGTTTTCTCTGTTGAGCGGTGCAGTGGCAGCAGCGTGGGACCCGCGTGGTCCAGATCACGTGGCTGGCGGAGTGGGAGCACCCGAAGAGGGTGTATCCAGTCTCACCGGAGGCTTTGGAAGCTTCTGGTTGCTGCTTTTGGCTTTAGTAGTTGGTGGAAAGTGTGACGACCTTAACTCTCAATCGAATTTACTGGGGAGTCAGAGATACATAAAATGCTTTAGAAGGGTGGGATTTTCGTAGTAAAGAAAATGAACGAGAGTAGAGGCAGGATTCTGCTGTTAGTTATGCTGAAGTAGCATTGAGCATCATAGTTCTACCATGCGGGCATAACAATGAGCTCGGATCTTTGACTTGTGGAATCAAATACAGGGTTGGGACCAGGCTTTGTCATTCATTTAAAGATGTATAACTGGGGCAGCTTGCTTAATCTGAGTGTTCCTATTTCTATGGGGAAGTCATCATACATTTTATAGGATTTTTGTGAGTTTTAGTAATATATACAAAATGGCAATCCCATCCAGTGCCTGGTGCTCATCAGTGAGTGAAAGCTGTTATCATTGGGTTAGAACTTAGGATGTTCAGAAGACATGTGAAAGGAAGATGACTAGGAACGTGAAAGGTTTGGAATCTACATCTCAAGAAAAGCAGACATGATTGCATGGGCAAACACCTTGAGGGAAGATAGAATCTTTGGGAGTCTAGGTCTTTTTTCTTTTTTTTTTTTAACTTTTATTGATTTCAGAGAGGAAGGGAGAGGGAGAGAAACATCAATGATGAGAATCATTAATTGGCTGCCTCCTGCACGCCCCCTACTGGAGATCGAACCCAGGACCCTTCCATGCCCAGGCTGATGCTCTATCCACTGAGCCAGGGCTCAGAACCAGGATTTTTTTTGTTTTTAATTAAATCTTTATTGTATTACATATGTCACCCTTCCCTCCCCCATTGACCCCTTCTAGCCTACCTCCACCTCCCCACCCCACCCCTGCCCCAGGCCTTCACCACCCTATTGTCTGTGTCCATGGGTTATGCATATATGTATACAAGTTCTTTGGTTGATCTCTTCCCACCCACTCACTCTCCCCCCACCTTCCCTCTGAGATTCTGCAGTCTGTTCTATGCTTCTGTGTCTCTGGATCTTTTTTTTTTCTTTTTTTTTTTCATTAGATTCCACATATGAGTGAGATCATGTGATACTTGTCTTTCTCTGATTGGCTTATTTTGCTTAGCAAAATCTTTGTGGAGGGCTTAGTAAGGGCCAGATGCTTTTTCCAGCTTCTAAACACTTTATATGCTTTATCTCTTATCTCAACAATTTAAGATGTATAGTATTACCTTAGCCTTTTATAGATAGAGAATAAACTTTGGACCTGCTTTCTTTTTTTAAAATATATTTTATTGATTTTTTACAGAGAGGAAGGGAGAGGGATAGAGAGTTAGAAACATCGATCAGCTGCCTCCTGCACACTCCCTATTGGGGATGTGCCCGCAACCAAGGTACGTGCCCTTGACCGGAATCGAGCCCGGGACCCTTGAGTCCGCAGGCCGACGCTCTATCCACTGAACCAACCGGTTAGGGCTAGACCTGCTTTCTGATTTAGCTAAACTTTTCCCAGCCCAGTGAAGCACCCCAACTTCTCTTTCAGGTAATTGTCAGCAACACAGCAGTAAATATCAACAGGAAGCAGATTATTATTATAGATCGTGCAGGGAGAACAAAGGGTAAAATATTTAACTGCAGCAGTGTTTGACTATATTCTGTGCAGTGAGAAAACCTGAAGTCATTTTTAAGGTCCACCATTTCTTCTTTTCAGTTGGGTCAAGTTTCTAAACTTTCTAAATCTCCGTTTTCTGTCTAATGAAAAAAAATAGGCTTCCACCCAGTCTCCTGTCTACCTACTCCAGGACTTCTGTGAGGATCAAATGAGATGAGGCACGGGAAAATGCTTCACAGACATTTGGTTACAGTGTATAATGTTTGCACCTCACTAGAAAGCAAATCGTGTTCCTGGGCTGAAGAAACTGCAAGGAGGCTAGTCGCTAGAGAGAGGAAGCCGGGTGTTGCTACTTAACGTCAATACCCTGACAGACATTTAGCATGTTTGCATATAAAAGCATAATATGCAAATCCACCAAACGGCCGAATAGCAGAACGACCACACTGACACGCACTGGCGCCAGGCCAGCCGAGGCGGGTGTGATGCGATTGGTCGGGAGGGCCCCTCCATTGCCCCATGATGGCTCCGCAGAGGGAGGCCAGGCTACCCTCTGCACGGCGATCGATCGGGGGGGGGGGGGGGGGCGCTCCGGGGAACCGGGGGGTGTGTGGCAGTGGACACGGGCAGTGCCAGGCCAAGGTGGGTGCTGGTGGGGTCCAGGGCTGCGATGCCGGCAGCCAGGGGAAGGAAGGCCTATCCTTGCACGAATTTCGTGCATCAGGCCTCTAGTATTTGCATATTAGCCGTATACACACACACACACGTGTATGTATGTGTGTATATATATATGGATTGATTTCAGAGAGGAAGGGGGAGGGAGAGAGATAGAAACATCTATATATATAAAACCTTAATATGCAAATAGACCAAACAGCTGAACTGAATTGGCCTCTATGACATGCGCTGACCACCAGGGGGCGTGTGTGGAACACGGCAGACATCGGCTGTGGTGGGATGGTGGAGCAGGTGAGCGGGGGCATCAGACCAAGACGGGACGCTGGTTGCTGTCATTGGGGTGAGCCTCTGGTGGCTATTGAAAATTCTTTGCCCAGTGCTCACATCTGCTGCTGGCGCTGGTGCCGCTGCTCGCACCCGCTGCCGGCATCTGGCTCCGGTCCCGATCGCTCAGCACCATCAGCAGGTGCAAGCGGTGGCTGCAGGCCCCAGTCGCCCCTCAGAAGCAAGGGGAGGTGGAGAAGCCCTGAGGGGTGCTCGGGGCAGCAGCAGCTGCTTGCACCCGCTGAAGGTGCCGGCCCCACTCACACCTGCTGCTGGCACTAGCCCCAATTGCTCTGCACCATCAGCGGGTGCGAGTGGGAGCAGTAATAGTGGGAGTGGGGCTGCTGGCAGACAGG